CAGAGGGGCCCGATTGCTCTCCCCCCGCGATTCGCGGGGGGTCGCGGCCCCCCCGGGGAGCAACGAGTCCGACGGGTCGCCGAAAATCGCGGGGTCAGGAGCCATCGATCACCCGTTGGGCACGCGCGCCTCTCTCGGTCGGCGCCTCTTCGCGGGGGATAACGAGCCCCGTCGTCGTTAAGAACTGACGCGGCGGCGATAATGCTCGCAATAATAATGAAGACCTTTATTACCGCGCCTCGCGTACGAGGCGAGAATTTACGAAGGTCGCTTCCGCCAGGTGTAAAGCCTCGACGCGGCCACTCGCACGTACTCGGCCGCTCGCGTAAACGGTTAATGCGTAGAATGAAACTCGATACTCGAATCCGATCGTGATTAAGGTGTGACGCGAAAAGGGCATCCGAGGGGCCTCGTTGATAAAGCTTTCCTCCGTAATAAGTGTACCGAATCGTTTGAGACTCTTCCCCGTGAGTATGCAGTGGCCGAAGGAAGGTCCTGGCGATTTTTTCAATTTCGCTTATAAACTGTTTTTATTTTTTGTTAGAAATAATGACATTTCGCGTGTGCCAGGACTTTTCCGAGGGCCTCCATATGCACGTGGTAAAATGTCGCGAAAAAGGCATCCGAGGGGCCTCGTTGATAAAGATTTTTTCAATTTTGCTTATAAACTGTTTTTATTTTTTGTTAGAAATAATGACATTTCGCGTGTATCAGGACTTTTCTGAGGGCCTCGATATTCACGTGGTAAAATTTTATACGGTTCGGTCCACCCAGTCCAGAGAAGTTTCATTGACGATTGACCCCTCGGAGATGTCCCTTTCATGTCACCTTAAGGTTATGAGAAAGTGGCGTCAAAGAGGTATCGTTTATGAAACTTTTGAGCGAATTAAGTGTATCAAATCATTTTAAACTTTGCAACGTGAACATGGAATCTATAAGGAAGGTCCTGACATCGATGAAATTTAAATGTTTTTTTTTAAATTTCTTTATAGGTACTTCAAAAATTTTTCTATAAAAAATGAAATTTGTGTCAGGATCTTCCTTGTAGTCTTCATGTCCACATTGTAAAGTTTGATACCAATCGGTACACCCAGTTCGGAGAAAAGTTTCATGAACGACTGACCCTTCAGACGCCACTTTCACGTCACTTTGACGTGACGCGAAAGACGAAGAGGCAATTTTCTATCTTATAAATATCTCCGTTTTACAAATCAGAGGTGAATAAAAATATTTCTTTCGAAATATGTAATTTCTAGAATGTCAAAAACGGTCTGGGCTCCTGTATAATTATGTGGTGAAACTTCGAAGAAATCGGTACACGCGTCTTCAGAAAAGCGTCACCGCGAAATTTGGTCATCACCGAACGATAAGGAGTATCTTTCCCCATCACTTTACTCCGTCACGTCCACCCGGTTGACTGTCGGTTTTGACATGGCATCATGTTGGTGTTATCAATCAAGAAACTGTTAACGATGGCTCGATCCGAAGGATTGCCGATCCTACATCTTCCTCTTAGACTCCTGGAAGGAGACGGAAGCGGCCGACAAAGGGTCGGGTATAAACTTCTTCCCTCCCTTCCGCCCTTCTGGCGGCCTCGAGCGGCAGGAAAAGCACCATTCCAGGAAAAAAAAAAGTTATAAATGATACACCAATTGTGATGATAAACATCGCGCCCGCGAGCCGCGCGGCCGGAATGCGTGCGCGCTAATTATTCCATTACGGTTACCACAAATTAATGGCACTTTAAAGTCGTTACTCCCCTCGTAATGTGTTTCTTTTAATTAATGTAATAGGGCTAATTTACGTTTATAAGTAGTGCCCGGCGCGCTGGTTCTTTTTAACGCTGATGCAGTGCATTCAAGTTAGGTCTTAACCATTTACGGCTGTCTTACTTGCGGGCAGAAATATTATTATCGAGTATGGAGATGGCTCGAAGGGTTGGGTCGCACGAATGCAGTTTTAGTGTTATTTCTTTCTGCCAGGTTTCTTTTTTTTTTTAATGTGGCATTTTTGTAATTACTGTTGACGGAGCAACGGTATGTCCGCTCGCCTCGGTAGAATTGAGTGTTGCTTCCGCGAGCAGCAAATTCTATATATCTGAAGGCTGCGTGTTGGAATTATATGCTTCCTATAATTGAAGCCAGTCTAATTCATGATCGCCGAATGGCAATAAACAATGATATGGAAGGTTTGAAACATCCCGCAAGACGTGTGGGCTGCGTCTGCCGCAAGCGGTGAGCTCGAACCGCGGCCACACAAGGTAGTGCCACAAAAATCGAGTCCCACAAAGTACTTACAATACCGTTACGTTTGCATCACCGCCGAGCTAAAATTATCCGACAGACAAATAAACCAATGGTGAAAATACGGGAATGTACACACTTTTCTATAAACAAATGGAATGGTTACGAAGCTCGGTTAAAGAAATTCCTTAAGGTGAAGTGAAACATGTCGAGGAACGTGATCGACGTCGATAAAGAAGATTTTTCTAAATGCCTACGTTGCCGACGTTCGTTTTTATATTGACAGCTATATCGAATTATATTGGGTATTGTACTAAATGGCGTACTCCACCTGTCGTTTTCGTACAATAATTATAAAAAAATCAAAGTAAAACTCGAGAAATCCTCTGGATTCATGCTTTCTGGGGCCCTAATTGACTGCAGAGGGACCCCCTGCGCCATCTGTGATTTCCAGGTCAATTAAATTTTCACTCCGAGACCTCGTATTACCATCGTTTTAGCAAAGAAGCGCATACAACACTTTTTTTGCCTTTATCCCGTCCAAATGCGAGTTTATCGATTACCAGAGTGTAATAAATTGTCGTAAAATTGTCCTGACCCTTTCGATTCTCATCTCAGAGCCTTAGATAATTGTATATTGATCGAAATATGAGAGCTCGACGCCATTTTGGTTCTGGTCTGGGCTGAGTTAAAAAATTCTTTTCAAAAATCCAAATTTTCAATGCGTCAGGACAATTCTTAGATGATCAGGAGTGATGTGTCAAAGTTTCGGACAGTTTGGTCTAATACCCTTAAAAAAAAGTGTTGTATTTGAATCGACTGATTTGAAGGGTGTTTCATTTCACCTTAAGGGCCCTTCTTAGTGTTAAGGCTCGAAGCGCTCTTTGCACAAAATTAAAACTTTTCTTTCGAAGTGCTCAAATATGTATAGAGATTTAGATAATCCTAATTCCAACGATAGCCGTACTCACGTAGGCTTAAAATCTTTTTATCTTTTGGTTTTGGACTTCTACGACAACCAGTCTTACGGATACCGCCGAGAAATTTATTTCTTTAAGATACTACAACAAATTATGTACAATTCTGAGACAATTAGATATTTTTACTTGACAGAAAAACTGAATATTTTTAAAATCTAAGGAAATATACTCGGATAGTTACAAGTTAAGAACGTATAGTATCTTTTTTTAATCCTAAGAATCATCTTATAATTTTTTTTTTTCGACAACAGTATAGAAGTCTCTTAATACACTTCGATAGAATTTGAAAGAAGACTTGATTCACAATCCGAAGAAATCAGACAATTATTGGACTTCCGGTTAGTAATTCAAAGTATGATAATATACGTTGAATTTTAATCACTGTGTAATACGTCTTATGCCTTCCTGATCAGGTCCATCGCATTATATTTCGTATAATAAACGAGTGCAAATAAAAAATTATAAACCTAACAGCCCGCCCTGAAGAAATGACACATATTTTAAATCCACTACCATATGCGTACTAGCCTATATCTAACAAATTACAACGTATAATTAAAAACACATTAAAATTCAATGCACATCATCGCACATCTCATTACTCCCACTGCACCAACGCAAATCCTCCCAGGGCCGAATGAGTTCTCATTAAGCCAAAAGTGACTCGAAATGCACAGCGGGGTGAAACAAATATAGGCACTCGTGAGAATGAATTGGGCCGGTGTGTGAAAAACGATATCCGAAATCCGTGAAATTTATCCGATTTTTGATGGATTTTTTATCCCGGCCCGTCCAGTGGACCAGGGGAAACAAAAAGAGACCGAGTTTACGCCAATCTTCTTTAAACGACCGAATTTGTTCCGGCACGCGTGTTCAATCGATGCGTTTCCGTATCATTCCTCAATTAAAATCTCTCCAATTAAAAGCGACCTCGTGCCGGACCCGCGCACAATAAATCAATTTAAACGTTCCTTAGCCAAAAAGCAGTTTTCGGTAACTGTACGTCCCCATCACTAAAGGATCCACAGCACTTGATAACGTTCGTCGATACGCCACTCACTCTTAGGACCACCTGACATGACAGACCGTCGGTGGCCGATAACTTTGCCGAACATTCTGTTCGCAATAGATTTTTACGGGGCTCTGTACACGGTCAACTAACAAGACAGATGGAAGAATGTATTATGAACATTATGACTGACTAAATTATCGGTCACTGGTGGTCCCAAGCATTGGACCATGCGCGGTACAATCGTCTTTCCTGCGTTTTGTTAATTCTTTATCGCTTTCACTTATTCCGACCGACTGGATATCAATTGCGATGAGTTAATTGATTTACTACATCGGCGCCGTGGTTTACACGCTCTTCCATGGTCGAACATCTTGATGTTTGGAAACGAGTCATTACAAATTTGTCTATCACGACGGGTATCCAAACGCCATCGAGTTCCCCAACAAACGGAGGATGATGTTGTATACGGTGGCCATTAAGCCAATGTTGGACGTCAAATATTTCCCATTAGTCAGAAAAAATGCTCAATAGAAGGCAAAATAAATTTCTGACGAAAGAACGGTCAAAGTGTCCCACCGTCGTCGATCATCAGCGGCCTCTCGATCCGTCAAGGAAGGTGGACGCGCTGCGCGTCATCGCGCGTCACCACGTCGACTAGTATCCGCTGACGTAACGCTCCCGAATGGACTTTGGGGTCAGCTGGAAGGATCGCGGCCGTCTATAAGCAGTGTCTACAGGAAAATCGAGGATCGTCGAACGGTAAAACGGCAAGCGGCCTCGTCGTATGTGGGACGATACGTGATTTGGGAGCTGGTGTGTGGGCCACGTCACAGCGATGGCCCCAGTCTCGGGCGAGGTACGTAGCGCGTATGCAAACGGCCAGCCGATGATTCACGAAGATACCGAGGCATTTTCGACCCCGGGTTATTAACCCGGAGGAGATTAATCCGCGCGGTCAAGAAGGCCGAACCTCGCAGCGCGGATGAGCGGAGGCACCGGTGCACCGGTGCAGCGGCGTCGGGGATTCCGCGGATCCTCGATGGCTCGCTCGCGTGACGGTTCCCGGCTTAAGGTGATGCGAAAGGCGTCAAGGAACTTAACCGATGTAGGAAAAACATTCTTCCAACCGATGTATCTTTTGAGGCAATCTCCAATCTCCACCCTTTTCAGTGGCAACGCCATTTCAGAAGTCTTGGGACTAAGCGCGTTTACCGGACACGGGTTTTTTCCCCCGGGATAATCGAGAATTTCATTCCACCTTAAGGGGATATGAAAGCGGCATAAGAAGAGTCAATCTTTCGTGAAACTTTTCTTCGAACCGAGGGTGCCGAGTCGTTTCATACTTTACACCGTGAACGTGGAGGCCATACGAAAGGTCCCGATCCTCATACAATTTCACTTTTTATAAAAGAATTTTGAAAACATCTATAAACAAATTTGAAAAAAACAATTGAAATTTTGTGGGTGACAGATTCTTCCTTATAGCCTCCGTATTCACATTGTCAAGTTCGGAGAAAAATTTCATAAATGAGACCTCTTTGACGTCACTTTCATATCAGCTTAAGGAGGGATAAAAGTGGCGTCCGGAGATCTCGTTTATGAAACTTTTCTCCTAACCGAGTGTAACGAATCGTTTGAAATTTCACCACGTGAATGTGGCGACTGTACAGAAGATCGCGATACGCATAAAACTGCATTGCATTACGTTTTGTCCATGAACATTTTTAAAATAAAAAAAATGTACGGGTCAGGACCTTTATTAGAGCTTTCATATCCACGCAATAAAGTTTCAAACGATTTGGTATACCTAAATCAGAGAAAAATTTCGTAAACGATTGCCATGCCTTACTTTGCATGGTGGTTTCACCCCCTTAAAGTGTTTAATGGCAGATAAAAAAAAACGTGTCGCTTAGTTTTTAGTCTACTATAGCATATTATAAAAGGAATCAAATCGGAGAGATCGACCTGGGATACCTTCCTTGTTAGCATCGAAGCGGGTGTGTCACCTGACGCACGCACAATCCAGTTGGACGCTCCGCTTACATTCGGCAACGGTTGTCAAAAAGAGATCAAATTTCTCTCATGGAACCCGAAAATCCCGAAGAAGGTGCTCCACGAGGACAACGATTTTGAGCGTATTTCTTAACCGATCGATCTCAACGAGTGCTCGTTTGAAAGATAAAACGTTGACGTGTGTTCATGTGGGAGCGATTCTCGATAACGCAACTCCTTCCTAGTTCAAAGAGCGTTCAAAGTATGTCGTAGCACTTTTTTTATATGCAAATGACCACTTATCGGAAATCGCTCCCATACATAAACACAGGTCATCATTTCATCTTTAACACATTCGCGAGCGCTGACGTGAATTCACGTAATTTTAAATTTTATTCCTGATTGCCGCTGGCGTGAATCACGTCCATAACGATACACGATACAAGTTTGCGGGAACCAGTTTCAGAATTTCATTATTTTCGCCGGTACTCAGCATTTGAAACGGAAAAAATTTGCCGGTCGCGAATGTGTTAACCCTTTCGTTACCTTGGACGAGATATCTCGCGACCCAATACTGGCCGATGAACGCTTTTGACGAGATATCTCGCGACCCGATACTGGCCGATCAACGCTTTTGACGAGATATCTCGCGATCCGGTAATAGCGGATTAACGCTTTTGACGATAATCTAGCTTTCTAGCACCAATATTTTGACATTCTAGATGAATATATTTTATAACTAATTCTATTCGCATAGCTAAAAGGAAGAAATAAATACAGCTACTACCGGATCGCGAGATATCTCGTCAAAAGCGTTGATCGGCTAGTATCGTGTCGCGAGATATCTCGTCAAAAGCGTTGATCGGCCAGTATTGGGTCGCGAGATATCTCGTCCAAGGTAACGAAAGAGTTAAGGTGAAGTGAAACACGTTGAGGAACTTGATCAACGTCAATAATTTTTCTAAATGCCTACGTTGCCGACGTTCGTTTTTATATCGACAGCTATACCGAATTATATTGCGTATTGTCCCAAATGGCATACTCCACCTGTCGTTTTCGTACAATAATTATAAATAAATCAAAGTAAAACTCCAGAAATCCTCTGGATTCATGCCTTCTAGGGCCCTAATTGACTGCAGTGGTACCCTCTGCGCCATCTGTGATTTCCAGGTCAATTAAACTTTCACTCCAAGACCTTGTATTACCATCGTTTTGGCATAGAAGCGCATATAACACTTTTTTTGCCTTTATCCCGTTCAAATGCGAGTTCATTGATTACCGGAGTGTTCTAAATTGTCGTAAAATTGTCCTGACCCTTTCGATTCTCATATCAGAGCCTTCTATAATTGTATATTGATCGAAATATGAGAGCTCGACGCCATTTTGGTTCTGGTCTGGACTAAGTTAAAAATTTTGTTGAAAAATCCAAATTTTGAATGTGTCAGGACAATTCTTAGATGATCAGGCGTGATGTGTCAATGTTTCGGACAGTTTGGTCTAATACCCTTAAAAAAACAGTGTTGTATTCGAATCGACTGATTTGAAGGATCTTTCACTTCACCTTAATATGAGCACTCTCGTTGGGCTCGCTCGGTTAAGAAATACACTGAAAATCGTTGTCCCTGTGAGGCCCTGCAAAATCGCTTGTGCGGTGAGCGTCCCTAACCGGTGCGGTGCTACAGCGGTGCAGCCGCGCTGCGGATTCCGCGGATCCTCGATGGCTAGCTCGCGTGACGGCGCCCGGCTTAACAGGTCATAATCGGAAACCTTTGCGATTCCGCTACGGCATGACAGGTCAATGTACTACAAATAGCGGAGAACGAAGGAGGGTCCTCCATATTCATGGTCCGGGGATAGATGCTTAATTCATTCGTACCCCGGAACGCCGCGGCGCCGCATGGCATGGGACCAAATCTACGGAAATCTCGGGACTGGTCTTAGCTCTTCCGGGTCGACCAAGTCGATAATTCGGAGATCGCTCTCCTGCGTATTGTCGTCGCGAGATGACCCCCTTGGCTCCGGCGAATCCGGCGCCGACCGATTCCCCGTGATTTTTTCCAAATCCACCCATTGTTACGCCCTGTTAAAAATATCTTTTCGAAATATGTGCAGTCGGTTTTTTTAAGATCCAATATTTCGAAATTTTCTGTACAAATGCGTTCGGGATGACACTATACGAGTATAGGAATTTCAGACGGCACGTATGCTACATTTCGATATATACTAATTTTGCATCATAGAGTTTAAGGGCAATTTTGTGTACGAAAGTACTTATGCCGGCGTACACCTGTTATGAGACACGACAGACGAAAACTCGGGCACTTTGCTGTACCGATTTCCCATAACGTACACATAGGCAATTCTATATATCCTATAAATATAAATTTTTTCAATACATTCATTAACATTTATACCGATTTCTTTTCCCGTAACCATTATGTTTAAAATCTTCAATAGTTTTGTCCGAATTCTCATGCGTGGAGGTTTCTTCGAAACGTAGGGTACATTTGTCCGGTATCCATTCTAAGTGCCGCCATCTCTATAACTTTTTCCATTCGAGAGTGTTTTTCGAAGTATCGCAGCATTTTAACCCCTTCACCTACAATATCGTGTGAGAGACGCGGTATATCAATCGGGCCAAACGTGAAGAAAACGTGTGAGAGACGTGATATGTCAATCGGGCCAAACGTAAACAAAACGTACAAGAGACGTGTGAGACTTTGAACGTTCAGCCAAACCGTGAAATGGCCCAATGTATGACCGACATTTTTGTTGTTAATGACACGCGCTATTGGAATTTAAATCGTAATTCAAGAGGTTAAACAAGATACCTTCGCCTCCGATGAGACTTGGAAAAATCACCAGGAAAATCTAAGCACTTGGGAGACCACCTTAGACTCGGCCGATGGTTCGGGACAACCACTGGTCTACGTTTTGTCACAGAGGAGCCCTCGACCCAGACGGGATAAGGCCGAACCCTTGCCGAGGAATTTTCCTTCGACTCTACGCGGAGCAGTAAAACCAGAAAAGGAAACTCATTTGCGACAAGTTGAAATCGTCCCTAGACCCGAGTCCCCGAACACGTCCTCGTACCTTGACCCACTGCGAATGGGAGGTCCGAGGTATCCTTTGCCGAGCGTCGCGACACGCTTTTGACGCGATGGACCTGCTCCTTGAAAAGCCTTCCTTTTTTCATTTGACGAGCCACCAGCGGGGCTTTGGCGAGCTCCAGTTACTGGAACGAGATATACCGGTTCTTCTCGAGTTCGCGTGGCATAGTGCCTTCTCCAGTCGTGCCTTACGAAAGGTCGGTCGAGAGAGCAGCGGGACTCGAGAGATGCCAGCTGTAAGGTGCGTGTACGCGGGAATTTCATTGTAATTGCTTAATTAGTTCCTGAAAAAGTCTCCCGTTTTCGCGGTAACGCGCCACGAGACGGAAACGCTCCTGATGTGCGCTGCTAAACGTGTCTGTTCGAAGTATACAGGGTACTCGTAGTCAAAGTTTCCTCAAAGTACAATATTTCAAATCTCGTAGTAGTTACTTTGTTAATTAGTGCCGGGATAAATCTGCTTTTGAGGTAATACGCCGCAAGACTAGATCGTTTTTAACGCACGCTGCAAAATATGCTTGTTCGAAGTATAGGGTACACGTAAACAAAGTTCTCTCACAGCATAATATTTTGATATCTCGTAGGAATTACTTAATTAATTAGTGCCTGAATAAATCTGCTTTTGAGGTAATATGCCGCAAGACCAGAACGTTTCTCTTGTACGCTGCTAAACATGCCTGTTAGAAGTATAGGGTACACGTAATCAAAGTTTTCTCACAGCATAATATTTTGATATCTCGTAGGAATTACTTAA